CATCATTAAATTTGGATACCACTCTTCATCCATAGGTGTCAGGGTGGTTCACAACATAAAAATACAAGGTAAAAACACAAAATTCATAATAAAAACCAAACAATAAGCACCCTTCCCTACCCCCTCCCACAAACACATCTAAAAGGATATAGGATGTTAGTCAAGCAGAGGCCAAAGGCCTGGTTGAAGAGGAACGTTTTTGCCTAGTGCCTAAAGATATATAATAAAGACACCAAGAAAACCTCTCTGGGGAAAGCATTCCACAAGCAGGGAGCTGCAGAAAAGGCCTGTTAAAACAACATTACATATAGATTTATAAAAACAAAAGGTGTGAGAGGAAGTGTGAGTATGAATCCATGAGTTGGATAGTTTAATGGGACATACTTCTCTGTATGGCTTGTCAAACGGATTTGTAGTTTATCGGATAATTTGTCATATCCAGTTCTCAGTATGTTTACTTTTCTTGCTAAGGTAATTACGACTTTGCCCATTTGGCTGGGTTGTTGCACCTGGCAGGAAACCTCCACAGTGGGAACCATGTTGCACACCTGTCTTGGTTGGAGTAATAACTCAGATATCTTACTAGACTGCTCTCACCCCGCAGCTGAGCGAGCCCCAGCGTCCCTGCAGCTCGCATGGGGGTGGGAAGGTTCCATATCTCCAGCTCATGCGCAAGGCATCAGGGCTCACTCAGCTAGGGGGCAGGAGCAGTTTAAAGACTCTGAGGGAGGAACAAGCTGTCTTGGTTCAGCAATACAGCTTGCTCCTTCCTCTGCGGTATGAGGGACAGAGCAATGGCGGCCTTACCCGGCAGTATATCGCAGGTGAAACTGCTGCTCCTCCTGAGTCCCTACAGGTGACCTGATGTTGAAAGTGGCGCTGGTAGCAGAGGGACTCAGGAGTAACCTCAGTTTCACCTGCAATATACCCCCACATAAAGTCACCATTGTGATCTGCACCTCATGCTGATCCTGGATGATGTATTGATACATTGCCCAGGTCTACCCATGAGAAAAAACAGTAACATCCAGTATGACCATTACCTTTCCATGACATCATAACTCAAAAGAGCCTCATCATGTTTGTATAGGATATAAATAATTGGGGAAAGCATGGAACAAGTCTGACAGTGCTCTGAACTTGTTGCATGTGTGGTATATTCTCAGTTGGTTTCTTTTGCTTTTCTTATCAGGGTAAGTAGCACCTTTCTTCCCTGTTCTGTCTTAATCCTTAGTTCACCCCATCTGTCCTTGTGTAAGAGGCCCTTCAAATTAGTCCCACTACCTTTCCATGCAGCCCGTCCCATTAAAGGTTTCATTGTGTGCTGAATTATCAGATTTCCAGCTTTTTCAGTATGCTTGTCTCTTCTCTCATTCTTTTGTTTTATACATTATGCACAAGCAAGCACATGTTTCCTGGCACCTGCCTGGAATTCCAGATAGTGACTGATTATATCAGGCAGTGTGGTCCACTAAAGGATCTTGATGCACATCCAAAGAGGAAAACCATTGAGACTCTGTGGCTAAATCTGTGTAACCACATCACTGCTTTCCTAAACTTGGAAAATGCTGGCTGAGTTGCAGCCCAGAATAACAAAAGTTTTCCATTCCTGACAGGATCTTTGGAGGCTTGGCCTCCAAAACCAAGAACAGGCTCCAGTGCAAGTACTGGGCTCAGACTAAACAATAGAATAACTCCCCTAAAAAGATTGGAAATGTTTTAAGGCATGTGTTCTACCGCAGGTTAGATTTTAGAGACATCCTGCATGACAACTCCAGGATCTCAACCAGTAGAGCTGATGAAATCAGAGGACTGGGAAAGGGTAGTGACACTGTAAGTTGGGGACAAAGATAATCAGTGGAGCTGTGTGTGGGCTCTGGCCTGTAACAGGAAACTTGCTGGAGATGAGCTCTGAGTAACTAGATGATTTAATGACTAGCTGGTTTCACAGTGTTAGTCTCCAACACTGTGATGTTTGCTTACCAAGATTTTCCCACTGCATTTATGTATTGCATAGACAGGACACAAGAAACTAAAGCAGGGGTGCCAACTTCTATAAAATATTATGAGGGGGGGAGGTAAGCTTCGCCCCACAGAATCGATCACATGACATGGCACATGCACACCATTTGAATGGCAATGCCCATCAACTTGGGGAGGGGGACAGCCTAGGAATTGGCTCCTAAGAACTAAGGCCACAGTCACTCTTTATATGTAAGGACTTTGACATTGTTTAAACAATTATGGCTTCCCCCAAATAATTCTAGTTTGTTAAGGTGGTGAGAATTGTTAGGAGACCCCTTCCACCCCCTCAGAGCTCCAATTTCCAGAGTGGTTTAACAATCAATCCCTCTTCTCTCTGAGAATTGTAGCTCTATGAAGGGGAATAGGGTGTCAGGGAACTGCCATCAGTGCTGGAGGGAGAGAGCAAAAGCCAGAGGGATTCCAGAGAGCGTCCAGGGATCGGGAGAAGCAGCCCATCTTCTGGGGAAGAGAATCAGCATAGCACCAGTGGAGAAGGGGGGCAGATGGGGGAAGCGGCGAGGCGGTCCCATGACTCCTTGCCTGGGACCAGCGGGGAGAGTAGGGGTCCTCCGTTGCCCACGCCCTCCTTGCGCAGAAGGCTTTCGCGCAGAGAGAGTAGGAGGAGACTAGGCGTCAAAGAGCTTCTTTGCTGGAAGAAGTTTAAGAAACGCCCACTGACGGATTCTGCCAGCGATTGAGTCAGCCATGGGTGAGTAGCTGTCTGGACAGAAAAGGTTCACTTTGGCAACCCAGCCAGGTGTTTGCACCTAGCCGGGGAGATAAGCACCGGCTTACGCACGAGCAACCCGTAGAACCATTACACCAATCCGTCAGTCCCTGACGTTGCTTGTGCGCAGCCCCGGGGAGGCAGCACAATGAGCCAAACAGGGCCGGCTGGAGAGACAGAGCAAGAAGCCATGGTGCGAGGTCTGGTCGAGAGGAACCGAGACCTGGAGGCACATGTCGCTACCTGTCAGCGCGGCTGGAGGAGAGGCGGGCTCAGGATGCACAGGTCAGAGCCACCCCGATAGGGAGGAAGGTCCCGGGGCTGGTAAACAAGTTTGGAGGAAAGCCCCAAGACTACAATGCTTTCCGAACGGAAATTCAATACACTTTGGAATTGCAGAAAAATGACTTTGCTGATGACGGGGAGAGGGTGGCTTACATTGTTGGACATCTGCAGGATGGGGCGCGCAAATGGATCAGGCCCTTAATGGCAACGGGGAATGATGCATTGAAAGATCTTAAGAAATTCTACCAGGCAATGGACGCAATGATCTCCAGCGAGGTTGAGCAAAGCCTGACACGGAGGGAGCTGATGGGGTGCAAGCAGGGGAGCCTGTCCGTCAGAAACTACTGGTCGTGTTTTGAGATGTTAGTGCACAAGCTCGGGTGGGATCTGGACTCTGAACCAGTACAAATGCTGTTTGAGGCAGGTTTGGACCCCGAAGTGAAAGACGAGTTGTCCAGAGCGCCCCGCCCGCGGTCGATGGATGAACTCACAAAGACTGTGCTTGTGATCGGTGTACGCCAGGAAGCGCGGGCTCAGGAGAAGCGGGAGATAAGGGCGGAACGTTTCCATGGCATCCGCATTCCTGAGATGCTGAGGGAGCCTTCCCAGGCGGCAGAGCCGATGGAAATTGATGGAGCGCACGCACGCGAAGTTTCAAACGCTAGTGAAGGCCGGAAAAGGGAGGGGAAGGAGTGGAAAACTACCAAGAAGTGTTTCCTCTGTCAGCGGCCAGGACATTTTGCAAAGGTCTGTCCTCAACGAAAGGCCTGGCAAGGCATGATGGGGGCTGCAGGCCACGACGAGAAGGGGAGGAAGGGCCGGTGCAGGGAAACGAGAAAGCCTGGCTGCCAACCAGCAGGGGCAGCAGCCAGGCCAGCAACCAATAGAAGTGCCCCAGCCTGACCCTCCCAAGGCAGCTATAGCCATAGAAGTGGTGCTAGAACTCCCAAATGGGCACCCAGTCAAAGTGGAGGGGCTGCTGGATTCTGGCAGCTCGTGTAATTTCTTCAGCAGAGACTTCGCTCTGGAGCACCAGCTCCACCTGTTGCCACTAGATTTTCCCTTGCAGGTGACCACCATTGATGGCAGGGAACTCCTGGGAGGGGAAGTGACACACCAGACACCGCCAATGCGGATGAGTGTTTCCAGGCACACGGAAACCATTGCCTTTCACATGGCCACGCTGGCAGGACCCCCAATAATACTGGGAATGAGCTGGCTGGCAATACATGACCCAGTGGTGTCATGGCATCAGCGGTCGCTCACCTTTGGGTCAGCTTACTGCTTAGAACACTGTCTGGGAGGGAAGGAACCAAGAATGACTGTGGCCAGGATGGCTGGGTTGGCCCTGGAGGAAAAAGGGCAGGTGCCACCACAATATGCTGATTTGAAGGAGGTCTTCAGCGAGAGGGAGGCAGACAGACTGCCCCCCCACAGGCCATTTGACTGCCAAATCAACCTGCTTCCAGGGGCTCAGTTACTGGTGGGTAAGCTGTATGCCATGTCCGACCAGGAGATGCAGGAGTTGAGGCAGTTTATTGACAAGAACCTGAAGAGAGGTTTCATAAGGGAATCAAAGGCGGTGGGGGGCAGTCCAGTGTTCATTGTGGACAAAAAAGAGACTAATCAGCCAGATTAGTCGTGGATTACAGGGCCGTAAACCTGGTGTCAGAACCCGTGACTTTCCCAATGCCCAGGATTGACGATATTTTGACACGTGTGAGGCAGGGGAAGATTTTTACCAAGCTGGACCTCAGGGGGGCATACAATCTGATTAGGATAAGGGAGGGGGACGAATGGAAATTGACCATGTTCACCCCCTGGGGGCTTTTGAGTACTTAGTTATTCCATTTGGATTACAATCGGGTTCCGCCTGCTTTCAAGCCTTCATGCACCATGTGTTGGGGCCCCTGCTGTACAAGAATTGCGTAGCCTTTTTGGATGACGTCTTAATCTATTCGGACAATGAAATGCAACACGTCAGAAACGTCAGGGAGGTGCTACAGAGATTGAAGAAGCATCAGTTGTGGGTCAAGCTGGGAAAATGCCAATTCCACGCCAGGGAGGTCGAGTTCCTGGGGTACAGGTTGTCAGACAAAGGACTGGCCATGGATCCAGGCAAGGTGAAGGCAGTGCTGGAATGGAAGGCCCCCAAAAACAGAAAGGATGTGCAGAGGTTCCTAGGCTTCAGCAACTTCTACAGGAAGTTCATAAAGAACTTCGCTCACTTGACAGCGCCCATAACGGATTGTTTTAGTAGCAAAAAGAAGTTCGCATGGACAGCGGATATGCAGCAATCCTTTGAAAAACTGAAGAAGGCGTTCGCATCGGAAGAGCAGCTCCTGCACGTGGATCCGGAGAAGCCCATGAGACTGGAGACGGACGCATCCGACCGCGCGATTGGAGCGGTACTTTTGCAACCCAGGTCCAAGGAGAACTGGAGACCGTGTGCCTTTTTCTCTAGGAAGCTGAGCAAGTCGGAGCAAAACTACACGGTGTATGACCGAGAACTGCTTGCGATCTAAGTGGCATTTCGGCAATGGAGACATCTTTTGATAGGGGCGCGGCACAAGATCCAGGTCCGAACTGGCCACAAGAACTTGGAATACTGGCGGACCGCGTGAGTGCTCAACCAGAGACAGATCAGATGGTCCCAGGAGTTCGCCAAGTTTTTCTTCGAGATACGATACATGCCGGGAGGGGAAAACATGAGGGCAGATGCACTCTCCAGGAAACTGGAGTACATGGAAGGAGAGGGGCCACCAGAGACCAGGCACGTGTTCCCCGAGGACCGGTGGGTGTGTGGGGGAGTGTTGGTAGGGAAACGAGAACTAGCAGGGCTCACCAGAGACGATGAGTTTGCTCAGACAAAAATCAGGGAGCTCAGGGACGGAAAGGAAGACAATGGAGGGTTTGAGGAAAAGGAAGGGCTACTGTACTACAAGGGGGCGCTGTATGTACCAGGAGAGACTTTGAGGGGGAAGGTACTTAGACAGCTCCATGACAACCCAACAGCTGGGCACTTTGGACAGCACAAGACCATGCTACTTGTCACCAGGCAGTTCTGGTGGCCAAAGGTGAGGGAAGACGTACGAGAATATGTACGTGGGTGCGACCAATGCCAGAGGGCAAAGGGGGAAAGGACTGCCCCCACTGGGCTACTGGAACCCTTACCTACACCGGAAAGGCCCTGGGAGGTGGTGTCCATTGATTTTATGACAGATCTGCCCAAGTCAAGGGGAAAGACAGCGGTCATGGTAGTGGTCGATCTACTGACTAAAATGTGCCATTTCGTAGCTTGCTCGCATGCAGTATCGGCAGAGGAGACAGCCAGGCTGTTTGTGGACCACATTTTTAGACTGCATGGGGCCCCGTTGAGGGTAATCTCGGATTGCAAGAAACAATTTACCTCCCGGTTCTGGCGGAGACTCATGAGCTTGCTACAGGTCAAGGTGAGCTTCTCGACAGCGAGGCACCCAGAAACCAACGGACAGGCCGAAAGAGCGAACGGTATACTCCAGCAGTACCTACGCTGCTATGTCAGCGAGAGGCAGAACGATTGGGTAGAGAAATTAGCTTTGGCTGAATTTGCATACAATAACGCTGAACATGTGTCCACGGGAATGAGCCCTTTCATGGCCAATTACGGGTGTCACCCCAGGGCCTTCCCAGGGCGGGGGGAGGAAGGATGGAGTGTACCTGCGGCTGAGCAATTTGTGGAGGAAATGGAGGCCTTACACCAGCAACTCAGGCTGAACTTGGAGCAGGCAAAGGAAGTTTACAAGAGGCAGGCAGACAGGCACCGTCGGGAGGGGGAGGCCATACGGGTGGGAGACCGGGTGTGGTTGTCATCCCAAGGGTTGCCCCTAAAGGGAGGATGCAAGAAGTTGCAGCCTAGGCGGCTGGGGCCTTTTGAGGTAATACAGCAGGTTAACCCAGTGGCATTTAAACTCAAGTTGCCTGACAGCATGAAGATACATCCGGTGTTCCATAGGTCCCTACTTTCATATTACAGGGAGGGGCGGGAATTCCTGGGACGGGAGGGAGGGGTTACCACCCACCCGCGGGTAGAGGAGAGGGAACACTGTAACGACACTACGGAAATACTCGAGGTGGCGAGGTTGCCAGGTAGAGTACTTGGTAGCCTGGGAGGGGGAACCTAGGTCTGAAAACACTTGGGTCCCTGCTGAATCAATCACTGATGGGTATCTGGTGGAAGAGTTTCATGGTTTGTTCCTGGGTAAGCCCAAACCATTAGCTAGATTCTGGGAGGAAGAATTTGGACCCACAGACGACGAAGGGGACTTTGTGGGTTTTCCTACCTCCGAAGAGGAGGGAGGGGAGGTGTCCGAGGGACAAGAATCAGACTGGGAGGTTCAACCAGCTGGAAGAGATCCGAGCGCATGGGAGGCTGGTTTTGAATCCTCAGAAGATGATGACAGTTCTTTCAGGGGATTCCCCGCATCGTCGGTCGAGGAGAGAGAGGAGGATGTATCGGAAGATCGCGCCAGGGGTGGGGGTGGGGTACTGAGGAGGAGGTGGATGTCAGGGAACTGCCATCAGTGCCGGAGGGAGAGAGCAAAAGCCAGAGGGATTCCAGAGAGTGTCCAGCGATCGGGAGAAGCAGCCCATCTTCTGGGGAAGAGAATCAGCGTAGCACCAGTGGAGAAGGGGGGCAGATGGGGGAAGCGGCGAGGCGGTCCCATGACTCCTTGCCTGGGACCAGCGGGGAGAGTAGGGGTCCTCCGTTGCCCACGCCCTCCTTGCGCAGAAGGCTTTCGTGCAGAGAGAGTAGGAGGAGACTAGGCGTCAAAGAGCTTCTTGGCTGGAAGAAGTTTAAGAAACGCCCACTGACGGATTCTGCCAGTGATTGAGTCAGCCACGGGTGAGTGGCTGTCCGGACAGAAAAGGTTCACTTTGGCAACCCAGCCAGGTGTTTGCACCCAGCCGGGGAGATAAGCACCGGCTTACGCACGAGCAACCCCTAGAACCATTACATAGGGTGTCCTAACAATTCTCGGAATGCTTAACAAACTACAGCTCCCAGAATTATTTGGGGGAAGCCATGCCAGTTTAAATTGGTGTCATAGTGCTTAAAATGTGTGGTGTGAATGTGACCTAAGTCCCATGTAATGCTCACTCTAGTGTTAAGGTTGTTCTAGAATACTTGCATTTCTGTATATGGCACTTCCAGTCTCTTCTAATTTGATCAAAAAGTTTTTCTAAGTTGTCGGACAGATCAGCAGAATTAGCATTTTCAATGCATGTGAAAATCTAAAGATTTTGTTGGAAGGATATGTTGGGGAAAGCATATGTTGTATCTGGATGATTTGCTCTGAAAAAAAATTTTAGATCAGTGTATGCTGAGGAACCCCTTCATGGATCACTACCTTGCCATGGCGAAGGGGCTTGAATAACTCAGAGAAGCTATGAGCTATGCAGTGCAGGGCCACCCAAGATGGACAGGTCATAGTGGAGAGTTTTGACCAAACGTGATCCACCTGGAGCAGGAACCGGCAAGCCACTCCAGTATCCTTGCCAAGAAAACTCCATGGACAAAGACAAAAGGCATATAAAAGTTATGACGCTGGAAGATGAGCCCCTCAGGTCAGAAGGCATCCAACATGCTACTGAGGAAGAGCGGAGGACAAGTACAAGTAGATTCAGAGCTGATGAAGTGGCTGGGCGAAAGCTGAAAGGACGCTCAGTTGCGGATATGCCTGGAAGCGAAAGGAAAGTCCAATGCTGTAAAGAAAAATATTGCATAGGAACCTGGAATGTAAGAACCATGAACCTTGGTAAGTTGGATGTGGTCAAAAATGAGATGGCAAGAATAAATATCGACATCCTGGGCATCAGTGAACTAAAATGGACGGGAATGGGCGAATTCAGTTCGGATGACCATCATATCTACTACTGTGGGCAAGAATCCCATGAAAGAAATGGAGTGGCCCTCATAGTCAACAAAAGAGTGGCAAAAGCTGTATTGGGATGCAATCTCAAAAATGATAGAATGATCTCGATACGAATCCAAGGCAGACCTTTTAACATCACAGTAATCCAAGTTTATGCACCAACCACTGGTGCTGAAGAAACTGAAACTGACCAATTCTATGAAGACTTACAACACCTTATAGAATTGACACCAAAAAAGGATGTTCTTCTCATTATAGGGGATTGGAATGCTAAAGTAGGGAGTCAAGAGATAAAAGGAACAACTGGCAAGTTTGGCCTTGGAGTTCAAAATGAAGCAGGGCAAAGGCTAATAGAGTTCTGCCAAGAGAACAAGCTGGTCATCACAAACACTCTGTTCCAACAACACAAGAGACAACTCTACACATGGACATCACCAGACGGGCAGCATCGAAATCAGATTGATTATATTCTCTGCAGCCAAAGATGGAGAAGCTCTAAACAGTCAGCAAAAACAAGACCTGGAGCTGACTGTGGCTCAGATCATCAGCTTCTTATAGCAAAATTCAAGCTTAAACTGACGAAAGTAGGAAAAACCACTGGGCCAGTAAGTTACAATCTAAGTCAAATCCCTTATGAATACACAGTGGAAGTGAGGAACAGGTTTAAGGATTTAGATTTGGTGGACAGAGTGCCTGAAGAACTATGGATGGAGGCTCGCAACATTATACAGGAGGCAGCAACTAAAACCATCCCAATGAAAAGGAAATGCAAGAAAGCAAAGTGGCTGTCCAACGAGGCCTTACAAATAGCGGGGGAGAGAAGGCAAGCAAAATGCGAGGGAGATAGTGAAAGATACAGGAAATTGAATGCTGATTTCCAAAAAATAGCAAGGAGAGACAAGAAGGCCTTCTTAAACGAGCAATGCAAAGAAATAGAGGAAAACAACAGAATGGGAAGAACCAGAGATCTGGTCAAGAAAACTGGAGATATGAAAGGAACATTTCATACAAAGATTACCATAATAAAAGACAAAAGTGGAAAGGACCTAACAGAAGCAAAAGACATCAAAAAAGGTGGCAAGAATACACAGAGGAATTATACCAGAAGGATAAGGATGGCTCGTACACCCCAGGTAGTGTGGTTGCTGACCTTGAGCCAGACATCCTGGAGAGTGAAGTCAAATGGGTCTTAGAAAGCACTGCTAATAACAAGGCCAGTGGAAATGATGGTATTCCAGCTGAACTATTTAAAATTATAAAAGATGATGCTGTTAAGGTGCTACACTCAATATGCCAGCAAGTTTGGAAAACTCAGCAGTGGCCAGAGGATTGGAGAAGATCAGTCTACATCCCAATCCCAAAGAAGGGCAGTGCCAAAGAATGCTCCAACTACTGCACAATTTCACTCATTTCACACGCTAGCAAGGTTATGCTTAAAATTCTACAAGGAAGGCTCAAGCAGTATGTGGACCGAGAACTCCCAGAAGTGCAAGCTGGATTTAGAAGAGGCAGAGGAACCAGAGACCAAATTGCAAACATGCGCTGGATTATGGAGAAAGCTAGAGAGTTCCAGAAAGACATCTACTTCTGCTTCATTGACTATGCAAAAGCCTTTGACTGTGGCAAATTCTTAAAGAAATGGGAGTGCCTGATCACCTCATCTGTCTCCTGAGAAATCTCTATGTGGGACAAGAAGCTACAGTTAGAACTGGATATGGAACAACTGATTGGTTCAAAATTGGAAAAGGAGTACGGCAAGGCTGTATATTGTCTCCCTGCTTATTTAACTTACCGTATATGCAGAATTCATCATGCGAAAGGCTGGGCTGGATGAATCCCAAGCCGGAATTAAGATCGCCGGAAGAAATATCAACAACCTCAGATACGCAGATGACACAACCTTGATGGCAGAAAGTGAGGAGGAATTAAAGAACCTTTTAATGAGGGTGAAAGAGGAGAGCGCAAAATATGGTCTGAAGCTCAACATCAAAAAACGAAGATCATGGCCACTGGGCCCATCACCTCCTGGCAAATAGAAGGGGAAGAAATGGAGGCAGTGAGAGATTTTACTTTCTTGGGCTCCATGATCACTGCAGATGGTGACAGCAGTCATGAAATTAAAAGACGCCTGCTCCTTGGGAGAAAGGCAATGGTAAACCTAGACAGCATCTTAAAAAGCAGAGACATCACCTTGCCAACAAAGGTCCGTATAGTTAAAGCCATGGTTTTCCCAGTAGTGATGTATGGAAGTGAGAGCTGGACCATAAAGAAGGCTGATCGCCGAAGAATTGATGCTTTTGAATTATGGTGCTGGAGGAGACTCTTGAGAGTCCCATGGACTGCAAGAAGATCAAACCTATCCATTCTTAAGGAAATTAGCCCTGAGTGCTCACTGGAAGGACAGAGGCTCCAATACTTTGGCCACCTCATGAGAAGAGAAGACTCCCTGGAAAAGACCCTGATGTTGGGGAAGATGGAGGGCACAAGGAGAAGGGGACGACAGAGGACGAGATGGTTGGACTGTGTCCTCGAAGCTACAAACATGAGTCTGACCAAACTGCGGGAGGCAGTGGAAGACAGAAGTGCCTGGCGTGCTCTGGTCCATGGGGTCACGAAGAGTCGGACACGACTAAACGACTAAACAACAACAACAACAAACATGCTGAGGAAAAGCCGGGGTGTCCATGCCACCACACCCACCCACCAAGGACCCCACCCCCTCAAAAAAAATCAGCCTGAAGTAACTGTGCTATTATGTCTGTCATATTTTTTAGTTTTGGTAAAATAGATTGTAAATTGCCTTGAATGCACTGGCAGAAAGGCAGTGTATAAATAAGAAAACTGTATTTTAATTTATTTTAATTTTAAAAGCCAATAAAATAGCCAATAAAATAGGTTAAGGGGTCAACCAAATGTATCCTGGGAGAATTTACTATATAAACATGCAGGGTTAAATTAAACTAAGACATACTCAGAGCAGATCCATTGAAGTCATGTCCGTTGATTTCAAGGGTCTGCTCTGAGTATGACTTAGATATTGGGTGGTGAGCCCGTCACCCTCCAGATGTCATCAGACCCCAACACCCATCAGCCCTAGCTAGCATGGCCAATGGTCAAGGATGATGGGAATTGTAGTCCAGCAACATCTGGAGGGCCACAGGTCCCCCCCTGATTTAGATGGATTTAATCCATAATCTCTATTTCATATATTTGTTGTCTTCCCTTATCAGCTGATAAATTCTTAGTATTTTTCTGATTTTGACAATGTGTATTGTAACAGCAAGGCCTGTTTATTACAATTCCTTGAGTATAGTATTCTCAATATTGGGTCTAACTGCAAGAATAACTCTGACATATAACCATTTTGCAACAAAATGCTATGCGCAATAGAATCTCCATTATACAGAATAGAATAATTAAGTATTCCTTCTCTGACTGTCCTCTATAGGATATTGTATGTGTTTCAGTCACTTGGTATAAATTAATTAAAGTAATCTAGACATGACCCAGAAATGCTGCTTACAAATATTTTTAAAATAAAAATAATAGTTATTCCGTGTTCTTCAGTACATTGTTGATTCTGGAACTCAAATTCCAACTTTATAAACATGCGAGTGACAGATAATGACTTACAAAATACATCATTCAGTAATTAATGAAATATATGAGCAAATTCTTTTTTAGCTTTGCTTTTTTAACTTTGCTACTGATTTCAGAAGGGACCCACATCATCTGGCAGAATATTGAATCTTCGTGGTATGTTGTTCAGTCTTTCTCTAGCTGCCGTTTATCGGGGGAAATGGTGTTGCCGGGGGGGGGGTGGTAAGAGCAGTGATCTTCAGAAAAATGCCTCACAATGCCAAAAGTCTGAACTACAATTATTCTTTTTCTAAAGTTCAGTGCATTATGTCCAGCCCAGTCGTTCCTGGCTCACATTTGCATGAACTCTAGCATACACAATGGAAGCAGCATACGTTGCGCATTCCGGGGAGATGGGGAATGGAGCTAAATCATTAGGACTCTTTGGAGTTGCCAGTTATTCAGTTGGTTCCAGGTTTCTTGCTATAGCAGCTAACAGGCTCACTATCCTTTCTCATTGCTTCTTATGTTTCTTGAGAAACAGGGTCTTGACAACAGACTATATATTCTTCAACAGAATAGACATGTTAATTGAGAAAATGTACCAAGTGGAAAATTTACACCAACAGGCACTGTTTTCTACTTCTCTTATCTTTATTTGGCTGCTCTGTGCTCTCCATATATGAGAGTTCTACATAATTTTTATTTCTATAATTTAATTTATATTTCCTAGTGCATACCACTCTTCTTTCAGCCAAGTTGTTGCATTCTGTAACCCACATCATCCTGCATTTCATCCAGTATCAACCATCTTGGACCCCTATGATCCAAGGTCTTGTTGATGACACTGTCGTTGGGACTGCCTGGTTAGGGTTGATCTGTCACATGGTCTTTTTAGTTGCAGTTCCCTGTTTGTGGACTGCCCTCTCTAGTGAGATGTGTCTGCCTTCCTCAGTACTGATTTTCAGAAGAAATGTAAAATCATTCTCATGATTTTCAGAAGAAATGTAAAATCATTCTCATTTTGGGAGGAAGGGTGGGGTATATAAATCTTCTTCTTCTTCTTCTTCTTAACAACAATAACAACAACGGTAATTTATGTTTACAACAACAGCAGTGATTTATGTTTCAAACAATGACAACAGTGATTTATGTTTCAAAGCAAGAATAAGTTTCATTATTGTGTTTCTCAAGCATTGTACAAAATCCTGGGCCAAAGTACAGAGCCAAAGGCTTTTCCTACCTTAGTGTTAATGTTCCAAGTTGTGTCTCCTAGGTTAGATCTACTCATGCAGCGCAGTGATTCTGTGGTGGTGCAGTCTTGAGCTGGTAGAATGAACTGTACTGCTTCAGTCTGCATGTAGGGAAATTCCTCTTCCCATATGTATATACAATTTGTGTGTTTAATACACTGTAAAAGTTGTTTGAGTGTTAAAACAACAACCACCTCAAAGCAGCTTTCAAAAAGAATAAAACAATGAAAGTGTTGGTATAAGCTGTTAAAAACAAGTTTTTAAAGCATTCAGAAACAATAAAAATGAGCAATAAGCTAAAAAGCTGATTACAACACATGTCAGCTTTCAACTACTGTATTTTACTTGCTTTGTTTACCCATGTCCTGAGATAACCACCAGAGGCGCTTCTCTGTGTTCTCCTGCAGGCAGAAATAAGGTGGGTAGTCACAAGAGAAATAATCTTAGCAGCAAAAAGATGGCAAAAAGTCTAGTGCTCAGGTACCTTCTGGCAGAGTCTAGGTGGTAAACAGTGGTCCAGCAATACAGCTCCCACTTGTGTGCAAGTGACTCATATGCAGCTCCAGGAAATAATTAAATAATTTAGTTCATACCAGGAAATTGAGGAAGAGAGCTGGAGAATCTTCATAGCTCTTGAAGAGACCCTCCCAGGAGCCCAAAGAGAATTTCAGTGAGGGCGGAGAAGAGACTGGAGGCGCAGGGGGCTTTGTTTAGGCTGCTCAACCTCCCCGCCTAACAGCTGGTGCATGCTGTAGCACAGAAGCAGCAGCTGCTTTTCCATACATCCTCCAGCCTCCAGCCAGCCCCAGAGCTTCAGTTTTAGATGTGGATATTTTTAGATACAGTATTTTGGTCTGGACTGGAGGGAGAGTGGCAGAAAGGGCATTTAAAAGGTGTTAAGAAGGTGCTCCCCGCTTACACGATTTTCACTTATGTGCGTGGGGCACCGGAACGTAACCCCTGCGTAAGTGGGGAACCGCCTGTAATTCAGGAAATGCTAGTATTCTACTACTTTTCTATTTTTTTAGTATTCAGTGTTGTCAAAGGTGTTATATTTTTCAGCCTAGCACCATGAGCTATATCTTGATGTTCACTGCTATTTTCCAATTATCAACGAGAGAAACCTTTGTAAAAGGTTGTCTTTATAGAGCTGTTTGGTTAGCTTTCTGTTAAATGGGTAGATACAAACATATTTCCTCAACAATGAGAAAACGGAGCTGGCAACAACACAATAGTAGCTTACAGTCAGTCCCACGACATTCCTCTATTTCTCTGAAATGTGCAAACCTTGAAACATTCCAGAGTGTTCTAGACAGCAGTGGGTACAACTCATCTGATCTCAGATAAAATAAAATAAAAAGAACAGGAATACTCATATTCACACCACAAATTTCTGTCTTGTTTGTTTTCCAAAGCTGTCCCCATTTTAAAAGCCAATTTAACTGCAACATGATGTTTGGGTTGCTTTTTTCTGGTGTCAGAATGACAATCTGCCATTTTTTCCTACAACTATATGAAATATTACATATGTTGATTAAAAAAACTCTAATATATTTTTGTTTGCAAAATTTTGTTCCAAAACCATCAGAAATTATGATGATTATTTTTGCACTACAAAACTAGCCAGAACTTTGGGCTGGCTTCAGGCTGAACTGTTTTTTGTTTTTTAAGTGTAGCTTGCTTTGGAAGCCAATTTCCTATCCTTTTTTTGCATTTAACTATTGGAACACTTGCTTTGCATGTTTAAGGTCACAAGTTTCAATTCTCAGCACTTAAGGAACCAAAAGATGAGACATGAGAAAGACCTCTCTGCCTAAGTTCTTGTAAAGCTGCCATTGTGTCAGAGCAGACACAATTAACAAGACCCTGATTTAGTAGAAGACATCATATTTTCACATATCAAAGTCGAATTTCCCCCTTGGTTAAAACCAGCTTGCCAGTAAGTCTCAAGAACTGCTCCAATACCTTTGTTAGGTTCCCCATGAAGGTAACCCACAGCAACCTACCCCCCTTGGCTCTGCTTTAGAATTCTGTGCCTGCGCTTAAAAATAGACCATATCCACAGGGCTGTTAATTGTAACTCTCTGTTAAAAGAGTAATTTTGCTGATAGGTAGGGCTGGACCTTGGGACTGAAGTCCACAGCTCCTCGAATGACTAGCTAGAGAGTGGTAGAAAATATGTGCAGGGGCAAAAATGCCCAGTATCAGTGCCTAGCCAATGGGTCTGATGCTGGTCATCACTGTATTCTTTATTCCTTATTATCCAGGCATATACACTGTTACAGATGCTGAGCTCATTTTATTTATATTATTATTTAAAAAAAAAACATTTTCTACGTAAAAACGGTGCTTATTTCAAAATACAGTAAATGTGTTTACCATCAGGGCAGAGCCCATTCAAAGTGATTTTAAATGAGTTTACGGGAATTTAAAATGTGAAAAAGTAAAAACCAGGACACCCCAAAAATGCCCCCCAAAGTGATTTTTCGTTTGACTTGCCTAAGATCCAGGACAAAGTGCCGCCTTTTGGAAATTCCCCCTGGATATCAATTCCACCTTTGAAATCCCGATAATATCTGGGAAAATCTGGATGTATTTCAGCCCTATTTGTTCCTTTAAAAATTGGGATTAGCAAGCATTTTTGTCCCTTTGCATGAGGAATATAGAAGCAGTTGTAAAACATAGTATTGGGATGGTGGAGAAGAGAAATATATGCCCATAAGTCCAGTAAGTTCACAGTTTAAAATTACCTGGCTACACCAGGTGCAGTACCTGTGTGTATTCTTGCAACATCCAACTCCTGCTGTTTCTGGAACGCTGAAGGGGTGTCTGCATTGCAGTGTATTCTAGTTATACATTATGAAGTTTTGATTCACATTGTCCACAGTGAATTTTCCATATATCTTCAAATATATTTCCCATCTCTAATCCAGGGACACGGGTGGCGCTGTGGTCTAAACCACTGAGCCTCTTGGGCTTGCCAATCAGAAGGTCGGCAGTTTGAATCCATGAGCTCCCGTTGCTCTCTTCAAGCTCCAGCCAATTTATCAGTTCAAAAGCATACTAGTGCAAGTGGATAAATAGGTACCATTGCGGCGGGAAGGTAAATGTGTTTCCATGCACTTTGCTTTCGTCACACTGTTCTGTTTCGCCAGAAGTAGTTCAGAAGCGATTTAGTTATGCTGGCCACATAACCCAGAAAGCTGTCTGTGGACAAACACCGGCTCCATCCCTGAAAAGCGAGATGAGTGCCGCACCCCATAGTTGCCTTTGACTGGATTTAACCATCCAGGGCTCCTTTACCTTTACATTTTTAGCCCATCTCAAATTAGGGTTGGTGCTGATATTTGCTAAAATTGAAATAGAACCATGAAGCTTAAACAACGTTCTCTTCCAAAATGCACTCTTTCAAGTTCACCCCATATGCAGAACAATCCTCCCTGCTACACACAGATAATACAACAGAAATTTTGGCTCAAAACCTGATTGATCCAGCATCTTGTACATTTATCCTCAGTATTCTCTGCACTAGACCAATTTCTGCCATTCTTTTTGTGAAAATGAAATTTATGTTTCTGGTGGAGGATCTGCAGAAGAAGCTGATGCTACTGCTATTTTACACTTACTGTTTTTGCTGCTTCCTGTTTCTCTAAGGAGCTTTCAGGATGGGCCCATCACATTGTAGACAAGTCACTGTCTACCAAGTCCTATGCACATAACATAACTGTGTCTAAAGAGCATCCATATGGGAGAGAGGAGAAAACATACTAATGCTGTAGTTGGGTCCTGCATTGTATTATGAGAATTAGATAACTTCCAAGTCCCCTTCCAACCCTCTGATTCTGTGTTATAGATTCCTAAAACCACTGATTTACAGGTTAATAGCATAGTGAATGCATTGGTGTAGATACAGTTTAATCTCAATTTGTCATGCTATATGGCAAGCATTACAATGCAATGAATAGAGACATGTGCAAGCAGATCTGAAGGCGGGGAAGTGCAGTCTGAGCTCAACATAAATTGTAAGGATCAGATTTGTTTGATGTAAGTATGCACTAGTGCCACAGGTGCACAGTAGAAATAAAAGCACATGGCTTGCGGGCCTATCCACAGTGAGCCTGCAAGCATCTGGGGGAGGGGGACCGACCCATGGAGTCTAGCAATAGAGATTCAAAGAGGCCAAAGCACTGTAGGGTAAAACACATGTGCCAAATGTGTTTCTATACATAAAACCTCTGAGCCAAAGTAAGTGAGCTAGAGTGCTTGATCTTAGAGGAAAGCATAGATATAGTGGGTGGAACGGAAGCTTGAGGGAATCGAGAAAACCAGTGGAAGACAGTTCTCTCTGAATACGTACTCTATAAGAAGGACAGAGAAGGTTATAAGGGAAGTGTTATGGCTCCATACATCAAAGAGGAAATATAGCTCAACAAATTAGAAATCCCAAATGGGGCAGAATTACTTTGTCTTGTGTCTACAGAGTAATTTAGTACTGGCGACTTACTATCTCCCCTCCCTGACCAAAACACCCATGGTGCTATCGAGATTGAAAATGGGTGATATTGACATGAACAATGAAATCAAGGTGGCATCCAAAGAAAGAAGTGTGGTAGTAATGGGTGATTTCAATTGTCCTCATATAGACAAGGTCAATGCATCCAGTACGAACAAACAGGTAGTGTTTCTAGATACACCATGTCTCACTGAAGCAGAACCAACATGGCTTCTACAAGGGCCATCTCACTAAGAGTTCTTTGAGTGTCAACAAGCATATAAATAGAGGTGATCACAGTCAACACTTGTACCTAGACTTTCAAAAACCTGGAAATACCCCACTCCCACCCCCAGGCAGAGCATTTCCTACCGGCAGTGGCAGCCATGGAGAGGCAATGGGATCAGAAGCCAGGATGGCTTTTGTAATTCCAGGACTTGTTCTTGGAAAATCAGGACGCTTGGAGGGTATATAATACAGACACCTCACTTACACATGATTGACTCTCGCATGGCCACGTGTATACACGGTGCCGGGAAATAAATAGATACATTCAAAACAGGAAATTACAGGAGATAGTTGGAGAGTCCTCGTGACTCATAAGGAGAACCTCCCAGGAGCCCAAAGAGTGGGTGGAGGTAATCCCAAAGAGACCGGAGGTAGAGCAGGGCTTTGTTTAGGCTGCTCAGCCTCTCCGCCTAA